CAAGTTCAGGGTATTATTACCTGTGCTCCCGATCAGTTGGCTAGAAAGTGGAGGTCCCCACAACCCCATCCTTGGTTTGATTGATTTGCTAGAGCGGCACGCAGAACTCAGGAAACCAGTTCACTTAATGTTTACCGGCCTGTTGTAAAGGGACATGAGGAGGGACACAGTTGAACATCCAGACAGCAGTGGTGCATGGGGCGAGGTATGAGGGAAGGGGGCGCAGACTCTGTGCTCTCTGGGGTAACAGCCACTCACCAGCACCTCCGTGCCTTCAGTAGCCCAGAAGTTCCCCGACTGCCCACCTTACCCTTGGGATTTTTAAGGAAGCTTTATTACATGGACATGATCCATCAATTAACTTAATTTCTGGCCCCTCTCCCCTTCCCGGAGAATGGGGGATGAGGCCGAAAGCTTCTCATCATGGCTTTGTTCTTTCTGGTGACCAGCGCTCACCCAGGGGCCCATCCAGCTTTGCTTCACCAGAACAGAAGACTCTCCTGTGTCCTGTCACCAGGAAATTCCAAGGGGTGGTTATTTCACAGATGTAGTCACTGAGAGTGGACGTGAGCAGGGAAACCTTAGCAGGTCACTTAACATCTGCACCTCTCACATGGGTCCCCAGCTCAGGCTGCTGTGAGACTTCAACAAGCTAATGCGAGTAAAGGTGTTTAGAGCGGAGCCCAGCACAGAGGGAGTGTGTGAGAGCTGAGCAATAGTGCTAGGATTTTAATCCAGGCTCCGAGAGAGTGCACGTGGGCTTGGCCTCATACCTGCCTGATGCCCACGCTGGCTTCCCTTGCAGGCTCCTGAGCTGGCATGTCAGTGGTAGCTGGCTGGGGCTGCTCAGAGCAGGGTAGACTGTTTTCAGGTCATACACCACATTGAGTTCCGCATCCCGAGAGGATGCGCAGCCCAGGCGTGGGGCCGCAGCCAGGTTTCCTGAGTCCCCGGCATCCCCGATGAACCCAGGCTTGGTTGCTTGTTTCATGTCTAGCTGGTTATTGATCATGTCAGAGAAGCACGTGGGGAAGTGTGGAAGAGAAGGGAGAGCTGGGAATACAGCCTGCAGATCCCCCTGCCTTTGATCTCATTTTGACCTCCTCCCATGTCCCCACGTTCTCCCCTCTGGGGGCTGTGTGTAAAACAGAGCCAAGGTCACCGGGGATCTCAGGGTCTGGTAGAGGAGTCAGTGTTACAGAAATGACTTTAAAATTGGAAGTAATGGCACAGTCCTGGGGGATGTGGGAGAAACCAGGGAGCCATTCACTAGTTCTTCCTGCTTGGGGTGGGGTGAGTTTAAAAGTCTGGAAGAGGATTGAACTTTTGAGCTGGGACTTGGAAAACAAGTAAGAGCTCACTGTGGGGATAAAGGGCTCAGAGGGGCAGGGGTGCGGCATTCCAGGCCGTGGAGCAGCGTGTGGCTGTGCCCCTCCCCTGAGTCTGCTTCCAGAGGGAACCCGCCTGGGAGCCCTGAGAGGAGAGGGCAGGGGCCTGGCACACAGGAAGTGCCCAGACAGTGCTTGTCAAAGCAGTGAGTGAGTGAGCAGGAGTGTTGGTTGTCCTTAGCCCTGAGCTGCAGTCACACCCCGCATGGGCCGCACACCACCCTGTGCCCCATACGCAAACGTACTGTTCTTACCCACCGGAGCCACCCTGCGTGGTCCTAGGGAAAATATAGCAGCATCTTCATTTTATCAGTGCGGAAGCCGAGGCACAGGGCAGTTAAGTGGTGTGCTCCAGCCCAGGGGCAGCTGAGCTGCAGTGGGTTTCCTGGCACCTTCTGTGCCCACCATCCTCTCGGCCAGGTGGTTTTGGAGGTGGGGAGCCAGAGCCTGGCCACCGTGGCTGCCGCACTGAGCGTGATTGGGCTGCCTGTTTGAAGTTAGGGGTGGCTTCCCAGCCACAGGGCTTGCAGGCCTTTGTTTCCCGCCTCCCCGCCCTCCCCTGCCCCGGGCCGCCTTGCTGCCCAGTCCCCTCTGAGGGAACACTGGGCCCTTGTTTCTCTGGATGCCGAGCGCTGCACAGACAGCATCCGCCGTTGGCCTCCCGGGTGGCGTGATGGGAAAGCATGGTGCCTGCGGACCTCCTCTGGCCACAGCGGGCGGCCTTGTCGTTGAGACACATCGTTACTTGCCAAGGGGGACCAGTCAGACCCCTTCCTCTGAACAGAACAACACGGCCCAGGGCAGTTCCCTTCTCTGGGGGCAGGCTGTGGTCACAGAGACAGAACAACACAATTGAAATGAGCTGGCTTCCGCCTGAGCCCCTCACCACCCCATCTGGGAAACAAGCAGAGGCTCCGAGGTGTGTCCCCCTCCGAGGGTCCCCTCTTCTGTGGCACTCCCTTCCCCCCAAGGGTCCTCTCCTCAGATGCGTCCTGTCCTCTGAGGGTCTCCCTCCTGCGGGGGCAGCCTGTCTCCTCCTTTCCAGCCAGTGGGGGGAGACCAAAGCCCCCTCAGGGGGATCGAGGCTGTCTGCCCACCTGAGTGAAGCGGGGCCGGAGAGAGAGCCGCTGAGAAACCCCGGCGGCTTTGCCGAGGCCTCAGCAAAGACACTGCGGCCAGAGGCGGCCGAGCAGGGGCCAGAGCAGGCCTGATGTGTGTCCCAAGTTGCTGTTATCGTGAAAGGCATAAAAACTGGCATAAAAACGCTTGGAAAATACACAAAGGAAGGTGGCGGGCATCCAGAGCTCAACTGTTTACCTTCCGTGGAGTGGCCAGGAACGCGGAGAGCTTGTTTCCCAAACAGCCGTGGTTGTCAGGTCTGCAGGCCAGGACGAGCCAGGGGCATCTCGCCTGCCACCTCCTTCCCCACGCCCATTGGGACCCCATGGCTCCGCTTGGGCTGCTTTCTGCCCCTCGTGCTGCAGGGAGACCTGGGGGGACCTTGTGGGGATGGGGTTTCCGACTGCCCAGCATCCCTCCAGGGCCCCGGGTCTGCTTGGTGTGCAGCTGTCTTAGTCTGAAAATGTCGGCCCCGGTTCTGTGGCGCCTGTTGCAGTGGGGCTGCAGGGCACAGCAGCAGTGGGCTCGTGTCGGCGGCACCGTTTGAGAAGTTGCTGCCTTCGCCCTTGTTACCCCTTCCCCCTGACTTCTCTGTCTTCCTCCAAAGTCCGCTTTTTCTCTGGGAAGTGGGGTCGAATGGGGATGTAGGAGCGAATCTGCAGCAGAACCAGAGAGGCCCCGGCAGTTTCCTGTTTTGTTTGGGGGGAAACGGAGGCCCAAGGTGGCCCGGCAGCCTGGCTCGGGCCAGAGCCCGTGCGCGTCGCTCTTTGGCTCTTGTCCAGGCCCCACCGGGCCATGTCCCAACCGTGTGGCCTTGCCCGGCCGTTTTTCCTTCTGGGCCCTTGGTGTCCTGGTACGTGACGCGGGGAAAGCCGTCCTCCGTGTCAGCCTGCTGTGAGGACAGGCACCTCTCCCTGTCCCCAACCCCGGAAGAGGGGGTCGGCTTCTCAGCTGCTCTGTGTTTTGTTTTGTTTTTGTTTTGCACACGTGCTGCTCACCTTGGGGAGGGGAGCCTTCATTATTTTCTTATTGTGAGGTCCGTGGCCTTTTTTTTAATAGGGGAAATTACCATCTTTCCTGGCAACAGTAAAAAAGAGGGGCAAGGATGTCAGCAGGGAAGAGCTGGGCCGTCTGAAGCTTCGACTGGGAAGGTGTTCCCCCGAGGGAGCGTGGCCAGATCCGGGCAGGTCTCAGGGACCACCGGGAGGTGCTGAGGCCCCGGGAGCCGTGGGCTGGCAGCACCCCAGGCCTGCGGGGACAGCGAGGGGACACAGCAGCGGTCTTAGAGAGGGGGCTGCCCTGCCCGCGGGGGCCAGGGCTGTGAGGATGGTTAACAAACACCCAGATCTCTCTCCCTTTCTCCTTCCCGTCTCCTGTTGGTGCCTCTGGTTGGCCAGACTTGGCCAGAAGCCAGAGGACAAGGGAGCCAGGTGGTGCGGGTCTGGAGGACCGCTCCGCAGGGTACCACGTGGGCGCAGGGTGGGGGCCCCGCACGACAAGCACAGGTCTGCGTCGCAGCCCCATCGCTTCGTCCCTGAGACCCCGGGCAGGAGTCAGAAGTCCATGTTCCCCGCCCGTCTGTGAAATCGCCCGTCATCACATGGCTGGAAAGTGATGAATGCGCATGAAGTTTCCAGCTCCGGCCTCCTGGAGCCGTCATTTGTAGCTCTCACTGTGATTTCTTTACTAGGGACTGTGAAATGGTCAGCCTGAAATCCCAGAAGGAGCCCCTGGGGGTGGGGCTGGAGACGGGGTGAGGGCTGGTGGCCTCATCTGGCTTCTCCTGAGGCCATCCAAGGGTCAGCCAGGTGCCCAGTCGGCTGCAGGCGGTGGTGTCTGTGTGCCGGGCAGCAGACATCTGGCAGGTCAGGTAGCACAGCGTCAGGCTGCCCTGGCTGTTGGCAGGTGCGCCTGCCTGGGGTCAGGTGATACTGACTGGTCACCGACATCTGTGCTCCCCGGGGCCCGTCTTCGTAACTTTATGCTCTTGAAAAAGTAAGTGTGTCATCAGTGGGTCAGGACACACGGGGTTCCTTCACGGTGTTGTGCACGTGTTGTGATTGGCCCGGGCGCCAGTGCGGTGTGTTGGTGGCAGGGCTCCTGGCTTTGCTGAGACTTTGTGTCCACACGCGCAGTGTCCTCTCGGTTCTCAGTACGCATCCCGATAGTTGACTGCAGCGGCGTGATTTCTCCTCACTGAGCTCTTCCCAAAACAGATGGGATGTGCTCAGTGCTTGCCCTCTCTGGGAAGGGACTGCACAGCAGTGCTCACCTGACCTGGATTCCATGTGTGTGTTTCTGTACCCTGGGTAGCCTGGGGCTCGGGGATAAGGCAGACACAGGGCCTGACTCGGTGGAGTTCTAGGATCATAGTGGGTTCATCCCATTTGTCCTGTTTCCCAGGCTTTCAGCGCCGTGGGGACACGCAGAGGGTGGCGAGGGAATGGGGCCTCGGGCTGCGGTGCTGAAGTTCTCCTCTGTGTCCTCCCTCAGCTGGACCTCAGCCGACCGATCGAGGAGCAGGGCCCCCTGGATGTCATCATCCACAAGCTGACCGATGTCATTATTGAGGCCGACCAGAACGACAGCCAGTCCCTGGAGCTGGTGCACAGATTCCAGGTGAGAGGATGGTGCGGAGGGAAGGGCTGGGCATCCTGCAGCCGTCTGGCTGTGTGCTCCCCAGAAGTGGTTCGCCGCTGCCAAGACTTGGCCTTGTGGTCCAGCACCTCCCTGCCAAGGCCTCCGTCTGCCTGGGTGTGAAGTGGGACTGAACCGGGCATGGCTGGCAACCCCTCCGCCCTCAGCCTTCACAGACCAGGTTAACTGATCAGAGTCCCGCTGAGTCCAGGTGCGCCTGCACACGCCCTCACACACAGCCACAGGCCGGGGCCCGAGTTGGCACACTGTGCAGCCTCTCACCACGCCTGAAGAGAGGGGCCCCGGGGCCTCAGAACTGAAACAGTCGCACTTGAGTCCTGCCCTGGCGGGTACCTCCCTCTCGTGCTCGGTGCCTCGACCCTGTGTGCTGGTACCCGGGCGTGGACCACGCTGCCCTGCCCCATTTCTCCGGCATCCTGGGGCCTAGCCCCACGGTGACCTGCCCAGCCTACCACCCGGGAGGTGCCACTTCACCCCCACGGACTTGTCCCAAGTTTTCTCTGCGGTGGACAAGAACGTGATTCATTCCTCTGGAAAGCGGCCCCAGGGGCCCTGAAAAACAAGGTCATATTATCAGTGAAAGCCCAACTGAAACAGAGGACCTCCCCCGGGGGCGGGGGGCGGGGGATGCCTGAGCTAGCACTTTCCAGAGCGTGACCCTTGGAGCCCCGGCCTCCTGTCTGTCTCTATCAGGACAAAGGGGACTCTCACTGCCACACAGTAGCTGGCCCCCCACCGATAGCGTTTTCTCTCTCCCCAGTCCAGGGTCTGTGAACTCAGCCCCTCTCCTCCCCAGGCTCTCCCCCCTCCCCCTCCCCGGCCGCCTCTGCCACAGGTTCCTGCTTCCTCTGTGCAAGTGGCCCCAGATGCAGTTGTGGCCTGGTTGTGACCCTTGCGGTGGCCCCTGCCTGGGGGAGGGGGCGCTGTGCCGTCCCCATTTGGTGTTCTCCAGGGCCTTTGCCTTGCCCGTGGCCTGAAATGTTGCCCTAGGCCCGGGGAGGTGGGGGGAAGGCATGTCCGGGCTCCTCCACGCCCTCGCTGAGCCTGCTTCCTTCTCGTGAAAGGGTGTTAGTGCCAGGACGTGTCACACGGTGTGGGGACGAGTAAGTGACACAGTGCACATAAGGAGCTTCACACGGGGCTCCGGCCCCAGCACATGTAGCTCGAGCTTGTTTTGATCACATGACCACCCGAGCCGAGGTTTCCTCTTCTGTAAAATGGGGATGGGGGCGTTCCTACTCCCCCCGCCCCGCCCCTCCCCCGGCAGGCAGGTTGCTGCGAGGAGTTATGCCCAGGGGGGTTAAAGTTCCTCGTGTTGGCGGAGTGCCTCCATGGTTGCTTGCGGCCCTGCTGTCCTCCGAGGTGAAGGACTGCGACCCTCAGCCTGTCCCCTGCCCTGGGAGTTGGAAGACAGCCCTGCCCCGGGGCCTTGCCCCCCTGCTCCCCACACACACGCACCCCGTGCAGCCCAGGGCAGGCGCTCACTGACAGGAGCACAGGGTGCCTTGGGTTCCTGGTCTTGACAGAAGAGAAGGTCACAGAGAGAGCACGGCAGGGGGACATGGGGACATGTAGCCTAAGGGTTTCAGCACCGAGTGGTTTCCCAGGGAGGTCTTGTTGGGTCCCTGGAGCCTGCCCCGCCACCCCTCCCCGGGCACACACACCCAGCCCTCCCCTCGATGACTGAGGTGACCTCGGGACAGCCTCCAGCCTTGGGAGTTCTGGGATAAGTTTTCACGCAGTCTGTTCTTCTGCATGGAGCCGGATGTCTGATAAGGCCAGGATGTGTCCTCCTTTGTGGAGAGAACAATCCTTTGGGGAGAAGGGTGACAGGCACTTCCCAGAGGCCCCAGGAAGCAAGGAGGCAGGCGGAGGGTGGTGCATGGAAGGGCCCAGAGGCGCCGGGTGAGGGTCAGGGGCGAGGCGGGCCCAGGGCTCACAGGCCTCCCTGCCACTGGGGGACATGAGAGGTTCGGTCCAGAGCCAGACCAGATAGAGGGACACTGGGTCTTGATCACATGTTGTTTTCAGATTCCTGTTTGGAGGTTTTTGCGACACTAGCAAGGACGTGTTGGCTTAGGTGGGAGGAGGGGTGCGGGGGTCCGAGGTGCTCCTGGCAGCCCCGAGGCCTTCTGCCTGTGGGATGCGCCCACTAAGCCTGCGGGGCCCGGGGCTGAGCCCGAGCGCTCACAGCGGAGGGGCTCGGCTCTTTTCCTGGTGGCCCTTCGTGGGCAGGTTGGAGAGTGTGGGTGGGCCTGGGGCTTATTGCTGATTGCTAAAGCTGGTTGCCATAGAAACCAGCCCTAAACTTTAAAAAAATGACCCCCCAGGGCATGGTTTGGAGAACCTTCAGGATGATTCTGTTGTTTTTCTGTGTGAAGTTCATGCCTGGTGCCAGCAAGGCCCTGCCTGATACACAGTCACCAGTGAACAGACCTGGGCACAGGTCTCTCAGGGGCTATGCCTGCGGGACCTGTGTGCCAGGGCTCAGGGGTCTCCTGGCTGGCCGGGGCGTGGTCCCCCTACTGCCCCTTCCAGGCCCACAGTTGTCCAGAGGGTTTCGGTGGTCGTGTTCCATGAGGCGTGCGGAGCAGGCCAGGTGGATCTTCGTGGAATTTTCCCTGGATGAGCTTAGCTAGAAGTATATTGTCTCCTAAATGGTCCCTGGACCCCTAGTCTGAACACGAGGACAACTTCTTGTGCAGGGGCACCCCATTTTCTGAGCTGCCAGCCCGAGGGGAGGCCGAGAGGGACACCAGGAATGGCCCCATAGCCCCAGAGTGACTCATAGGAGAAGCGCAGAGCTGGTCACTGCAGGACCTGGCTTAGTGCTGGCTGTTCCACGTCCTGTCAAGGAGGAGGTGGCAAAGGTCACAGTAATCTCTAGTGCGGCCCAGAAGACTGCAAGGCTGGCCACCGAGTCTCATCTCGCCCCACCTGCCCCTCCCATGCCAGGCTGGCCCTGCCACCGCAGCCGCCAGGTCCTGAGCTCTCGCCCACCTAGTGCCTTTGCACCAGCCTTTCTCTTGCTTGGGATTTGTCCCCACCCCACCCAGCTCAGCTCAATCGCCCGTCTTTAGGGGCAGCTCCCTGATTGTCCGACTAAGGACCTGTCCCCCATCCTAGGCCCTTACAACCCTGCACCCCTCATTCCCCTCCTTTCGGAAGGTGGTTGTTCTCTATCTGTCGCTGCTGCCGGTCTCTCCATTCGGGAGTCAGGTCCCCAGGGGCTGGGGTTGCACACGCCCCTGGCATCCCCACTGCGGTACACAGGCCTCCCATTTGTGGAGTGGAGGACCCTCGTGGGTATGGTCTTGTGCAGGGTGCCCTGGCGGGTCAGCAGAGGGGGAGTAAGTGGGGTCAGCACGGTCCCTGAGGCCATAGCGCTGTCTATGGGGTGCAGGTGGCATGCCACCCGTGTTGGAACGCCCATGATGCGGTAGGAGAGAGGCGCGGAGGAGCTTGGACTTTACCCTGCAGGCTGGGGGATGGAGAGGAGGGGGGGGTAACATCAGTTTAAATTGGGGCCCTGCCTGGGGTGGGGCGGGGCCAGGATGACCAACACAGGGTGAACTCTGAGCGGTCACTGGAGACTGTCAGTTTCTGAGATGAAGAGGGAACCCCGTCCTCACCCCCCGGGCCCGTGGTCCCCCCAGCACCCCTTCTCTCAGCTGTGCCAGGCCAGCCTTTGAGCTGCCTGGGCCAGGCTGGCACGGAAGGGCCCACGCAGGTCGGCGCCCCACTCGCCTGCTGGGTCCCGTCAGCTGTTCAACTGCATGCAGTGAGTGGGTCTGGGCGTGCCCTCCTCACGTCAGCGAGGCGGGCGGAGCAAGGTCACAGCCTTGGGTTGTCTGCACTCGCTCTGCCCTCACCCCCTGCTTTAAAAACGGGTTTACTAAGACACGGCGTTTCAGGTGTACCCACTGTGCCGTGTTCGCTGTGCACTCGCAGATGCGTGCAGCCGTCACCACAGTCTGTTCCAGGGCGTTTGCATCCCCTTAGAAATGGACCCTTACCCACCACTCCCACTCCCAGCACGAAGCAGCCGCAACTTTCTGGCTAAGCATCGCCCTGGTCTGGACTTCCTCACGAGTGGAACCGCGTAACACGCGGACTTTGGTTCCGGCTCCTTTCACTGTGTGCTGCTCCCAGGGCTCATCTCGGGGCCTGGGTGCAGGAAGCGGCCTCCCCCTTTCTCTGACAGGAGGGTGTCCCGTTGTCTGGATGCGCCCGTTGTCTGGATGCGCCCACATTTCTCCAGGGGCGTCCCGGGGAGGGAGCCTCGGCGGTTCCTGTGGCTGGGCCTTTACCAAGGGCACACTTTACGTGGACATGGGTTTTCACTGCTCTCGGGGAGACACCCTGGAGTGGAGTTGCCAGATCATGGGGTCGATTGAGGAGCCACCAAACTCCTCCCTGGTGGCTGCACCATTACACGTCCTCACCAGCAGTGTGTGAAGGTTCAGTCCCAACATTCGCTCTGGTTTTGGTTTCAGCCGTCCGAGCCAGTGTGGAGTTGTGTCTGTGGCTGATGGCGCCAGGCATCTCTTCCCGTCCTTGCCAGCCATTTGTCTGCCTCCCTTGGCGCTCTCCTTAGACTTGATGTGCAGGTCTGGAGCCCCCCAGTTTGTCTCTTCCTCCTTTAGGTGGTTGCCTCCCAACCCCCCACCGCATAGCAGCATGGTCAGGAGCACCGATGGTAGCATGTCACCCTGGTCCAGAGCTCTCCCATCATGTCATGCTGGCTGCCCTTCGGCTGTCTCTTAACTTCCTCTGTGTTTCAGGCCCCTTGTCCATAGAACCTGCACAGCTGCACCCACCTCCCAGGGCCAGGGCAGGGGTGAGTGTGTCCGCACATGCCCAGCATCCAGAGAACCTGGGCATGGGCTGGAGCAGGCCGCGTGACCCGTCCCTTCCTAGAAGTGCGGCTGCAGGCACCTTCGCCTCTTGAGGAGAGCAGG